GATTCATTTAAAGAATATCATAGATTCCACGCCTTTTTTGTAACTTCAGAACATCTACTAGATGCAAATGTCCATCACAGAAGCTGCTTGCCTTGCTACTTTTATTTATTTACTTTTTTTGCGACAGCTTTCGTTTTCACTCTGCCGCCCACTCTAAAGACCATTAAATTGTTTACTTTATCCTCCAAAAGAAACGGAGAAAGGCAGAAATGGCTCAGGATTATTGTCAAGTTATGTGGAATGCCAATGTAACCTCAAACTCGGGGAATTTCCAGGCGTAATACAAAGGCTTGCAGGCTGAGGATATCTGGGATTACTGTGTAAGGGGTAAGTGAGTCATTGTGTGGCAAACTGAAGGGTTAAAGCATGATGCTCTTGGGTCTGTGTAGCCTCGGGATGCTTTGGGAGAGGCATGGGGGCATTTTGACTGTAATCTACTTGATCCGCAGTGGGCTTCTCACCGCTACCTGAAACAACATTCCTCTCAGCCAGCCTCACGGATGAACCTTTCGTACATTCCGTGTTGCACAATCACCTGTGTTAGAATTGCCGTGGTAATGTTTCCTCACTCACACGAATTCTGGCTTTGATGTCTGCCAATAATTTTGCTTGTATTAATTGTTTTAATAAACCGCATGTCATGTCACAGGGCTTTCACACAACCTGCTTAAAGGAGTATATGAGTGACATGCACACATTTACTCATCTTCATGTTAATTCACATGTTCTTTCTTCAGGATGACACAAAAGAAGATGCTTTGCAGAATGTCTTAACTGCTCTTTTCCATATAACTGATTTTTATTGCTATACTTCAGTTTCAGTTTTTTTTTGTAAGTTTTATTAATTGTGTTATGCCAATTTTTATTTATTTTTTTGTTCTTTAAAAAAAACATTTAGCTTTTATTTATTTTATAATACTTTTTATTTTATTTATTTCTAATTTTCATTTAAGATTTTTAAGTGTAGGTTGTGTCTGTTGTGTTTATATTTCATTTTATTTCAGATTTATTTCAATTTATGAAAATATTTGTAATAATTTTAATTTTAGTTTTCGTTTAGTAAACAATAACAGCACTGATGGGGACCGTGGAATGAATGAATGAATGTAGTCCATACTACATGTGCACAACATTTCAAGTCTTCTGAAGCCATACAATAGCTTCAGAAGCGACTGGAAGTTTTAATCTTTATTTCTTGCACACATTCATATTGGTAGCAGCTCTTAAATCTCATTTGCATTTGTGCATATTCAGAATTGTTACACCAGGAGGGGAAGATTTTTAAGAAATAATCATTTCAATTTTAGTCATTTCATCACTCAATCAGAACAGTGCATTTATGAAACCATATCATAATTTTTTTCTCTCTCATTACCATTCATTTTCAGGAGGCAGGCAAGGCATTCTACAAAATAACTACTTTTGTGTTGAATGGAAGAAAGACATTTGGAACAGTTTGAGGGTGAATAATTGTAACAGATTTTTATTTTCATTCAAATACTTTCCTTCTTATCATTCTCTGCTTTTATTTAGTAATAATAAATAAGATCGTAGGCAGTAATGCTCAAAGTCGACCAGTGTATCAGTGTAGAGTTCAGAGTCCACGTCTCTGTCCTTGGTTCTGAAGTCCTTCCGTTCATTCAGCTGCGCTTCTCAGATGACCTTGTGCGAGCTCTTAAAGGTGGGGCTTTTTTCATCGCTGAAAAGGTTTTGTTAAAGTCATTTTCTGCTATCTTCCTGAATCATGTCTGTTTCTGCCTGGGCCTTTGCCTCTGTCTTTTTAGGCCCCAATTATGGTATGATATCACCGAGTGAATCATAAAAACAAATTGTGTGTTAGGGATAACTGTTTAAAAGCTCTCTCTCTCTCAAACACACATTATAGGCTTAAAGCAAGAGCTGTCATAAGGGATGAAAATGAGTTCTGACACCTCAGCTTTTCCAATAAAGACCCCCACACTTTTTTTTTCATTGTTGGCATATAAGTTGGGCAAGTCTGAGCACGTCTTTGCTTCTGGAGTATTTGAGGCTGCGCTTCTTAGATTTTACCCTTAGAGTTAGCGAGCGGGTCTAAACACGGCCCGAAGCCAGTGCATCCTTCCTCTCAAAATGACGAAACACACACAACTGCTGAGATTTCATACAAATGTGCAGGCACTGCAGACTGAATGCAAAAATGTGTTCATTTTTAAATATAAAACCGATTGACCCATCATCATTCTTCTGGTTTGGTTCTGTCTTATTCGCTATGAACTTAAACTGATAGTTCACGCAAAAATGAAAAATCATGCTGTTAATTTCTTGTTATTCCAAACCGTAAGACTTTCTTGCATAGAACACAAAAAAGAAATTTAGCAGATTGTCCGAACTGTTTTTTATTTTAAAAAATTTTCCCGTGCAGTGAAAGTGGATGGGACTAGAGGCAGCTGTTCACTTTCATTGTGTGGAAAAGAGCATCTTGGACATTCTACAAAATTGATCAGTTGCATCATCCATAATATATTATTTACTTATACATTTCCCTATGCAATTTTAACCTAAACTTTTATTGTAATTTTAACATCAAATGTTGAATTTAGAGTTTGACATTAAACTGAAACATGCAAAGCAAAATGGTTTTCCCTTTACAGTTTAGAAAGAAATGTTACATTTTGTTACAATACAATTTGGAAAGAAATGTTTCTTTGGGTTCTTAAGTTGAATTTGAACAAAACAAGAATTGTTTTAAGAAAAAAAGGTCTGTCCCTCCCTGTAAAGAATACTTGTTTCCACATGTCAGCAAACAGCAGCCAACTCCAAAGTACAGCCCTCCAAAAATATGGAAATCATTTATACTCTGACCTCAGGTGATTTTTGGGAAAACATCTGGCATTGTCCATACAATGAAAGTCAATGGGGTCCAAAACAACAGTGGACATTGGACATTTTTCAAAATATCTTCTTTTGTGTTCCACAGTACAAATTCATACAGGAATGGCATGAGACTGAATAAATGATGACAGAAATTTTATTTTTGGTTGAAAAAGCTCCATCGTGGCTCCTAAAAGAACAACCTCTGAGGAAAAAAAATCTGCTTCGTTCATTTTAATTGTCTATGCTATTTATGTTTTTTCTAACTTTTATATTATTGACGGCAATATGATTTTTCTTGCTCAAAGAACTTTTAAATATTTTTTTTTCTTTCTCTCATTTCTGTTTCTCCCAGTGTGTATTGGGAGGAACAGCGAAGCAGTAGCATATGTTATGCTGGCTGCAATTTCACAGCCGTTAGCATAGGCAGCACATTTGTGAATTTATTGACGGAGATGGGGAGTTGGCTGAATTTGCGAGTGGCATGCTGAAACATGTCCATCAGGCTGTCAGACTCGTCATTATCACTTAGGCCGCCGAGCCTGCCCAAACGTGCGCCTTTCCAATGCTCACCTTCCTCCAGCCCATCATCTTATTCCACCTTACAACACTAACACAGTGTCTACACTGCAGGCGAGCGATGCAGCGCTGCCAGTGCAATCAAGCAAGCCGTCTACAAACCAAATGTGTGTTTCATGCTCCGTTTCGCGTGCTTGCAGTATATTGTTTAAAAATATTAAATATTATATTACATATATATATTTATAAGTTTTTATATTAAGTTCTTTCGTGGTTGTTGGCAGCATCATAGAGGTGCTTTGCAAGGATGTAGAGGAAGAATGTTTCATGTGCAAAATAGTTTTGAATTGTTAAAAATAAAAAAGTTATTTGTGGCATTTAAGGTTCCACGAAGAACCTTAACATCCATGCAACCTTTCCACTGCACAAAATGTTCTTTATAGTGGAAAATGGTTCTTTTGAATATAAAAATATTCTTCACACTAAAAAAAAATTTTCTTTTAAGAACTGGTAACGGAAATGTTCTTTTGGGATTGTTCTTCTGTGGCATCATTGCAAAAACCCTCTTTTGGAACCTTATTTATTTATTCACTAATGGAGCTCTTCCTGTTCCTGTGCGCTGTCAACACTTTAATGTCCTTATCTTTCAAGCCATTTTTGAATTCATTAAAATTCTTTCACCCAAATGATAATTTCAACTGAAGTTCAGCTAAATGGTGAGTAGATGGATTGAGTGTGAAACAGTGGCAAGGTGACTCAATTACACCACTTTTACTATTGATTGATGAGATCAGCAGGGAAATCTGCTTTGAGGTGTTTTTGTTGTTGTTGTTTTTTTTTAATTGTAAACAAAGAAACAGATGTAAATGATGAAACATTCGTAATGATAACTCAACACTAATAATGCTATGCATTTATCAGAGTGTTGCTATGTGTTCGCTAGGGTGTTCTGGGTGGTTGCTAACTGAGTCATAGTCTCTGTGATATTCTTACTCTAAATATGGCTCACGTCCCTCAAATAATATTGTAATATATTATGATATTTACTGTAATATTATGAGATTATCAGTTTGTCATCCACCATGTGAAATTGGCAGATCTAAACTGAACTGGACTATATTTTTAAATAAAATGACGCTAATGTAATGTTTCTGTGGTGGCATATTAGAAAGTGAGTTTTGAAAAAGTGAGTAAGAAAATGATATTGCTCTAAATTATTTTGAAAAGATATATTGATATTTTTGGAGTTGCTTTTTGTCACATTGTACCTGCAACTATTTGTTGACATTAATTTGATCTTTTGTGTAATGTTTGACTGCTTATCATATTTCTTGTTTGCTTCTCCAAAGATAGATAGATAGATAGACAGACAGAAATAAATAGATCTTAAAAAGATTATAAACAACTTAATTTAAGCTTTAATAATTCCAAATATTCTTTAATATTTCCTGCTTTCCTTTAGATTCAGTCAGCTATTTTGGTTTTGCATTTAGGTATTTCATTCTGACGCTTAATTTAATTCTGGTCAGATGTCACTTGTACTTAAGTTAGACAATGAAATTACGTTTTCATGAGCTTTATTTTGTGGGAATCATTTATGTTTGTATAAATTGTGATTGCAACATCAGCAAACAGTGTTTATGATATTTGTTCTGTTGCAGCACCTGGCGTAAAATCTCCCTTTCATAAAATCTGAATCACATTAATACAAGTCCGCACAAAGCAGGCTTGTACATTTAGTTTTTGGGGGAATATTTGGGATGTCTTTATAGATTTAGACAAGCTCTGACATGCTTATGAGTGTGTGTGTGTGTGTGTGAGAGAGAGAGAGACCTCATCAGATGATGATGAACTTGTCTTCATCTATAAAGAAGCATATTTTTAAAGTGTGGTAACTTAGTGTGATTCACTGTGTAAGCATATTTCAAATGTTTATTTCTGTTTGTTTTTTCCTGCAGTACTCTCCACTGCTTAAGAAGCTGTATTGTCAGATCGCCAAGACCTGTCCGATTCAGATCAAACTGGCTTCCTCGCCCCCAAACGGCGGTGTGATTCGAGCCATGCCCATCTACAAGAAGGCCGAACACGTCACAGAGGTGGTCAAACGCTGTCCTAACCATGAACTCGGACGGGACTTCAATGAAAGTATGTCAAATTCATTCTTTTTTGATCAATAAAGTTTATCAAGACATTAGAACATTTTTTTAAAAATAAATACATACAATAATAATATAAGTTTTATAAGTTTATTACAAGTAATATAAGTTTTTCCTTCCAGAGTCATTCCCAGTCATAAAACATTTAAACGGCAGCAGATTTAAAAACAGTTTTACATCAGTAGAATTTATTGTTTATTTGTTATTTTGTTATAACAAAATAAAATGTGCTTAATGTAGTAACATTTTCATCAATTGTTGCTGCCGCCACCATGTTGTGAAGGCGTTGTGTTTCGTTGTGAAAGCGAAACTACTTTGTTTGGTCTTCCAAAAGAGGACGATATCTGCTTCGTCATGGCTGGAGTTGATCCGTGCTGGTCGCTGAGGAAATACTACAACTTTGCGCTGTGGATTGCCGGATCGGCTTTCACTGTGGACGAGTCCAGCCCAGAGTCGTCACATGTGGTTGCCGCAAACCCTCCGAACGCTCCTTCGTCGAATCTGCTCACTCTAGCCCCCGGCCTCTGCTCACTCTAGGCCGGCGTGTGACGCTGTGTGTTTCGTTGTGAAAGCGAAACTACTTTGTTTGGTCTTCCAAAAGAGGACACGACTAGAAATCTCATGGCTGGAGTTGATCCGTGCTGGTCGCTGAGGAAATACTACAACTTTGCGCTGTGGATTGCC